GGCTTAAATAACAAAACGGGCTTCGGGCCTAATCGAAATTAGACTCCGGGCTCAATTGAATTAAAATCAGACCTAAAGTGCAGTTGAATTAAAATCATATCTCGATCCAAGAATCCGAGAACTCTTAATTAAAATCCGGATAAATTTGATATCTACAAGTCAAATTCATTTTATTTTGAAATTAATTCATAATAAAAAATTTGTTCAAAATCTAATTTTTTAAAATTTAAAATTTAATTTAATTAAATCATATGATCATTTTTAAAGAAAATATTATATTTAATATGTCTTACATCTTTATCTCCACATTAATAATATTTTTTTATTCTTACGTGGAGACCATTTTTATATAAAAAATTATTTTATTTAAAAAAATGTAAGAACAAAACTAAAACAAATTTGGAAGGACGATTCATATTTGGAGTCAATATAAATAAATATCTTTTTATGGCAGATGAAAAAAATAAATGGTCTCAGCTCCCTTCACATTGCTTTGGAAAACCGGCCAAGAGATATGGTCTATTGTCTCCTGTACGTGGGTAACAACCTCATTGCTATGATGCACTCCTTTTATAAATTTTTTTTTTTCGAAAAAGAAAGTTAAGAAAATTAGAGCAACCTTCAAATTGGACAAAATCAAGCTTGGTAGGATCACTAATAATTGGAGTTAACACATAAATAAATGTCTTTTTCTGGCGGTTGAAAAAAATAAATGATGTCTTGTAATAAAAGTACTCTTCTGGCAGATGAAAAAAATAAATGATGTCCTGTAAGCTTATTTAGGGGCTAAAAAATTAATTGTGTACGATAAAAAAATAATGTCTTGCAAGCTTATTTAGGGGTCCCAAAATTAATTATGTACAATAAAAAAAATTGTCTTACAAGCTTATCTAGAGGCCCAAAAATTAATTATGTATGATTAAAACTTATAAAATTTTACTTATCAATGTTAAAAAAAAATTTATTTTTTTCGTCTCAAATTGTTTATTATATATTAATTTTTAGAAAATTTAAAAAACTATTATTTTAATATATTTAATATTAAATTTTAAATTTTTTATAAAATTAAAGTTTCATGATTTTTAATATTAAAAAATAAATATGGTGGAGTTGATTTCAAGACGAAAAATAAGATGGAGTTATTGGGTGTTTAGCAATTTATTAATTTAAGTTATTTTGGATAGTTCTTCTCTTGTTTCACGTGGATGCACAGTAAAATTTTTAATTAGTTGATAGATATTTGATCAAGACACTAGAGCAAATCCAAATGAAATTACTGAAGACAAAAAGAAACAGAAAAAATTAAAAAGAAAAAAAAAACTCAACTGCCATGAAATCAATATTGATCGCATAAGTAATGGTATGGCATGGATTAGTTTGAAACGCCCCGTTCAGGAAAAAAAGGTTTAAACGATCATCATTTGGGAAGAAAGAGATTAATGTACCTTTTTGTCAAAAAAAAAAAACTCAAAAATTCACAATCTCTTTTGTTTTTTCAAAACAAAATCTAACAAAATTACATTAATTAACAATATTTAGCTTTTGTATTTTTTATATTTTTTATATCTTGAATTTCTTTTTTGGTATACTAATATAATTTTATTTCTATTTGAAAATTCATTAATTGGTGAATGAAATTTCATAGTAAAATTCATTTTATTTTGAAATTAATTACTTAATAAAAGGTTTATTCAAAATCTATTGTTTTTAAAATTTTAATTTTAATTTAATTAAATATAACATCATTTAAAAAAATGATATTTAATATGTCTTCCATCTGAATCCCAACACTAATAATATTTTTTTAATTTTTATGTTAAGATTTCTTTTATATAAAAAAAAATCATTTTTTTCAAAATAAGATTAAGAAGGTTAGAGCAAGACAAAAACAAGTTCGGTAGGATGACTCAAATTTGGAGTTAACATATACATAAATGTCTTTTTGTTGCAGATGAAAAAAAATAAATGGTCTCAGCCCCCTTCACGTTGCTTTGGAAAACCGGCCAAGAGATATGGTCTATTGTCTCCTGCACGTGGATATATAACAACCTCATTAGATCTCCTTTATATAGAAAAAAGCTAATTTTTTTTCAAAAGAAAGTTAAGAAAGTTACAGCAAACTTCGAATTGGACAAAAATAACCCTGGTAGGATGACTAATATTCGGAGTTACATAATAAATGTCTTTTTCTGGTAAATGAAAAAAGTAAATGATGTAAGCTTAGCTAGGGCCCCAAAATTAACTACTCCATAATAAATGTCTTTTTTCTGGTAGATGTACCATTCAAACTTTTAAAATTTGTCCTATCAATTTTATAAAAAAAAAAAAAACTTGCTGTATCTTAATTTCTTCTCTTTTGATCCTTAGTGTCCATTTTCAAACATTTATCATTTGAATGAGAGCGTATATGTAAAACTCACTGTTAATTTTAAATTAAATAATAAAAAATAAAAAATAATTGTCTAATTTTTTTTTACTCATTTAAATTAAATAATAGAAAATAAGAGATAACAGTTGTCTAATTTTTTTTGCTCATTATTTGAGGGTCTCAAGGATATTGATAATTAACTACTCCAAGGCATAGCTAATAAAAGCAAAGAATTCAATATATCAGTTCTTTCTTTTATAAAGATGTCATAGTTTGAGGATAGAAACAAAAGTTATAAGTATTAAATTTTAACTTTTTAAATATTATTTTTAAAAATAATTATATAAATTAATTGAATTAATTTTTAAAAAATTTATAATAAAAAATTCTAAACTTGAAATTTTTTATGTAAGAAATCAAAACCTAACAATAAAAAAAGATATTATAAGTACTACGGTTTAAATTCTAAATTTATTAAATGTTATTTTTTAAGGGAGATTACTTGAATAATTAAACTCTCTTTCAAATAGAGATGTCAATGAGTATGGTATGGGTAGGATAGAATATTTTCCATCTCCATCTCTAAATTTTTATACTATACTCATTTTCATCTTTATACTTAACTAATATTTTAAATTTATTCATATCTCCATCCCCATGAGTATTTAATGGGTATATATAATCCTTATAACTATAGTTTTTTAAAAAATAAAAAAATAAAATTTTTTTAAAACTTTTTTATTTTTGTCTTGTATATTTATGTAATTTTTTTATAAATATATATCAATATATATTTTTCAATAAAAATATATTAATTTTAATTAATTTAAAATAATAATTTATATTATTTAATAAAAAATCTATTTACCAAATATATATATAAATATATACATGATATAGGTATGGGACAAATACTATATTACTCGTCCCTATCCCCATATCCAATAAAAATTTAAAATTTTATAAATCCCTATTTTTATATTCATCATATAATATTCATCTCCATTTTCTTACGGATAAAAAATCAAATTTTTCATTAAGTATGGATAAAATCAACATCTTTATTTTCAAAACTTGAATTTTTTAATAATATTAATTGAATCAAACATTCGAAATGTTACTCCAATTCTTATATAAAGGAAACCATTCTCCCATACCTTTGTCATTCCAGTTCTTTAAATTTCTATCTTTTGACCTAATAGCCCAAACCCTTTCAATTTATCTTCTAGCTACTACCATCAGAGTCCTCTTCGCAATGGATGAGAGGTTGAAGAAAGCTGCTGAAGCAGATAGCATCAATGCATTATATGAATGTATTAGGGAGAATGGAAATGTTTTGAAGGACATTGATGAGTTGGAGTTGGTTGATACTCCATTTAATATAGCTGCAGCTAAAGGGCATATTGGCTTTTGTAGGGAAATTGTGAACTCAAAGCCATCATTAATGCACTGGGTAGCTCAACCAACATGGTCTCAGCCCCTTTACATTGCAAAACCGTCGGAGAGATACGGTCTATTGTCTCCTGTACGTGGGTAACAAAATGCAACCTCTTTTTTTATAAAAAAATTTTATTTTTTTTTTTCAAAAAGAAAGTGAAGAAAGTTGGAGCAACCTTCAAATTGGACAAAACCAAGTTTGGTAGGATGACTAATATTTTGAGTTAACATATAAATAAATGTCTTTTTCTGACAGATGAAAAAATAAACGATGTAAGCTTATCTAAGGGTCAAAAAATTAATTATGCTCAATTAAAACTTATTAAATTAGTCTTGTCAATGTTATAAGAAATAAAATTTTATTTTTTGTCTCCATATATTTATTATGTATCGATTTTTATAGAATTTAAGAAAATTTTTTATTTTAATATATTTAATATTACAATTTAAATTTTTTATAAAATTAAAGTTTTGTGATTTTTAATATTAAAAAGTCAAAAAATTTTAAAATATAAAGAATAAAAATTTTAGATATTTAAAAAAATAAAATATAATTTCAAGACATTTCATAAAAAAATTAAAAAAAAATGAAATAAAGGGAGAATGAAATTTCTATTGCAATCTATCCAATGATGTCCACATACTTTGTTTTTTTGTCTTAATGTCTTTTATTTTGATCCCTTATTATCCACTTTTAATCGTTTATCATTGATATGAGAGTTTATCCGAAAAAAAAGTCACTATTAATTTTAAATTAAATAAAAGAGATAATAGTTGTCTAATTTTTTTTACTCATTATTTGAGGATCATTACTTGAGGATCTCAAGGATGTTGATAATAAAGCACTCCAAGAGCATGGCCAGTAAAATCAAAGAATTTAATATCTCAGCTCTTTCTTTTATAAAGAAGTTGGTAGTTTTGGAATAAAAAGAAAGATTGTAAGAGATTGTAGTTATTGAAATTCAAATTTTAAATTTGTTGTATTTTAAAAAAAAAAAATTATATAAATTAATTGAGATAAACTTTCATTTAAAACTTATATTTTTGAATAATAATGATTGAACCAAACGTCGGAAGTGTAATTACCTTCTTATGTAAAGGAAACCATTCTCCTATATCTTTCTCATTCCAATTGTTCTTTAAATTTCAATCTTTTAACTTGATAGCCTAAACCCTTTCAATTAATCTTCTAGCTATGACCATCACAGTCTGTCCTTTTGCAATGGATGAGAAGTTGAAGGAAGCTGCAAAAACAGGTAGCATCGAGGGATTATATGAATGCATTAGGGTGAATGGAAATGTTTTAAAGGACATGGATGAGTTGGAGTTTGTTGATACTCCACTACATATAGCTGCAGCTGAAGGACACATTGAATTTTGTAGGGAGATTGCGAATTTAAAGCCATCATTCACTAGGAAGCTCAACCAAGATGGTCTCCGCCCCCTTCACATTGCTTTGGAAAACGGGCGAAGAGATATGATCGACTGTCTCCTGCAAGTGGATAACAACCTCGTTCGAATCAAAGGAAAAGAGGGCAGCACTCCTTTGCATCTCGTAGCCAAGCTACACGACCCACGATTACTCGACCTGCAGCTCGAGTTCTTGCCTGAGTTCCTAAAAGAATGCCCTCAATGTATCCACGATGTCACAATTCGAAACGAGACTGCTCTGCATATTGCAACAGAATAAGCTTTTGAAGTCCTATTAAAATGGATTTGGAGGACCTCTCACCTCTCCCTAGATGAGAAGAAAGATATTCTTAATAAGAAGGACTTAGATGGTAACACTGTGTTGCACCGCGCTGTCGCCAATAATGTTTCCCAGGCATGATCTCATCTCTTCACTTTTCATTTATTCCAATTAATTTGATAATATCATTTCTAATTGAGAGCTTCTATTTGCAGTTGCGTCTCTGATTTTGCTTTTTATACCATTTTTTAAAATTATCTTCAAATAAATTTATTTAATTATTCTTTTCAATATTAAAAATATCCAAAAATTCATATCCAATAAGTTATAAAACTTAATCAGATATGAAAATCAAATAAATTAAATAATTTACCAGATATGCGTATTCAATAAATTATATAATTTATTAGATTTTGAAATCCATGAGTTAGTTTCTAAAAGTTTTTTAAAAAAGTACAAAATAAGTTTTATTATAATTTTATTAATTGGTATAAAGAAAAAATATTTTTATTGAAAGAGAAATCACCAATTTTAAAATTAATAAAAAAGTTAATTTTATTATTTTGAATTTAGAAAAAAATAAAGTATTATGAGATCCTAAGTAAACTGAAGATAAATTAGTAAACGTAACTTTTTTATAAATTTAAAATTTATTTTTTTAATAATATTTTTTTCTTTGTATCAATTATTAAAATTTTATAATAGTTTCGAATATTAATAGTTTTTTTAATGAAAAGAAATAAAAAAATTCCATAATAATTGAAGTCTATTATAATATTTTAATAATTGATACCAAGATAAAATATTTATTAAAAAAGAAATTTTAAAATTTAAATTTATAAAAAAATTATACTTATTATTTTCTCCTTAATTTAGTTACAATCTCATAAGATTTTATTTTTTCTTCAAGATCAAAAATAATAAAATCAATATTTTTTAATTAATTTTAATAGTTATGATTTTCTTTCCAATAATAATTTTTTTATTATATCAAATAATAAAAATTTTTAATAAAGCTCGCTTTTTGTATTTCTCCCAAAAATTTCAAAACTATCCTATGAATATAAAAATCCGGTGAGTTATATAACTTATTAGATTTTTATATCTGATAAATTTTATCAATTATTAGAAATGAATATCTAATACGTGATTTAACTTAAAAAAAATTTTATCTGATAAAGACTTTTAAAAGTGAAAAAGATAATTAAATAATTTTATGTAAAAATAATTTAAAAAAAACGGATGTAGGGAACAAAAACTCCGGTACAAATAAAAACTCTCTTTCTAATTGGAAGAGAATATAACCATTGTTGGTTAAAATAATAAATTTTATCACTTTCTAAGAAAATTTCTAATGTTTATTGTATTCAAATAAATTCTTAATATTCAATTTTTATCAAATAAGCCTTTACCCCAATGGAAAGTTGACTTCTGTTACAGTGAACACCAGTTAAATTTTTTATCCACGTAAAAGCTGATGTGGCAAGATGATCGGTACAAAAATTGAAATTTTAAAACAAAATTTTATCTGTGATGTGAATAAAAATTGAAAATTAATTCTTAAAAAATTAAAATATTTTAGTTTTCAATCACCTTTTATGTTGACAAAAAAATTAAATTGGCATTCACTGAAATAAAAGTCAACCTTCTAACCATAACAAGACTTTAATTGAATATAAACTAAAAATTAAAAATTTAATTAGATATAATAAAATTATAAAAATTCACCAAAAAAATAAAAAAAGTTAAGGAGTTCATTTAATATTTTAGTCTTGCTTCACTTAGGATTAATGTTACGAATAATCATTGAATTATAATAAAACTTTAATATGATATTTGAATTTTAAAAATTTTTAATATGATACTTAAATTTTAAATTTATTAATTAATACGGTATTCATACTTAATCCAATTAGCTCCAAATCATAATATAGCAAACAAACGTTTTTCTAAATACTAAATTAATTAATAAATTTATAGTACAAATAACACATTAAAAATTTTTAAAATTTAAATATCTCATTAAATATTTTATTATAATTTTAAGTCATTTATAACATTAACCATTTTAATTAATGTTGCGTTTATTTATTGATTATGCAGGATTGCATCAAAATATTATTGAATTGTAAGGTTAATGTTAACGAAGTCAACAAGAAGGATTTAACGGCCCTTGATATCTTAGATGCAAGCTGGCACGTTAACGACAGAGAGAGTACTAAGAAAATGTTACGTCATGCCGGAGGCAAGAATGCTCACTCAGTTCCCACACCTAAAAGCTTATATAAGTTGATAACAGGGTATTCAAGGATCTCTTTGTTTGATAGGTTATGCATTGAATGGATAAATGATCTTCGAAACACATCATTGGATATGAGCAATGCTTTTTTAGTAGTGTTGGTTCTGATCCTGACAACCACTTACCAAGCCACTCTAAGCCCTCCGGATGGTTTTGGCGAGGGTGACACCACTTCCTCCACCACAGCAATACTACTACAACTACCCTGACTAAACATTCCGATCAACATGTTGGGTTATCAGCTATGAGTACGAAGGATTTCCTTACCTTTTTTATCCCAAACAATTTGGCTTTCTTCACTACATTTGTCTTAACCGTGGCTCTGCTATTTCGTCTTTCTAGTGGTCGTCCTTCACAGATGGTATATATTCTATTGACAACATTGTTCATTTGCATGGAAGCCTCAACGTCGGTCATATCACCATCCACACTTTGCACTTCCATTCTTACCATTGTCTTGGTTGCATATATATACTTAACCTACTTCTTCCTTTCATTACCCTTTGTCAAAAATAGGGAATTCTTAAAAAGGATGAAGGAGGACCTACCCAATCTACAATGATGGAAAAGGCAAAATTTGTATGTAGGCAATTTGCTTCATCAAAATGGGATTAGGCATGCACTGGCTTTCGGTCATACACCATCGTTAATGTTTTTGAACTCCAATGAAAAGATTAAAGAATTGCCACAGAACCTATTAATGTTAGGATATATGTAAAATAATTAATAAATTAATATGATAAATAATGGGGTACATGTGGCAATATTCTAATCTAGGAGTCCAAAAGTTTTAACTCATATATTTGGCTAGGTTCTTTGTAAATTAGTATTTGTGGATTTTGTATTTGATTTCCTCTCTGTAATTTGTTCTTATGCAATTAATAATACATATGCGTGACTTACTATTTAAATAGCCTCGATGAGAATTTTATTCTTGATTAAGTTAATAAACATTTTGTTTTTGACACATACCAGTTAATCTAAATGGAAAGAGTGTAAAAATTCAAACCTTGAATCTTTTTTCTTTTTAATTTACTTATTCCTTAAAAAAATGATACTTCAAGTCGTTACTCGTTAAAATTATTAAGATTATATAAATTGTGCAAATTTCATATGCATAATTTTATTATATAGCACAAATTGTTCCGAAATGCTCCTGGTTTTTGCTTGTGATCATCAATTTCTCTTGCATCATTAGCTCATACAACCTTGAAGCCAAGCTTCATCTTGCAGCGGGAGTGACACCATTCTTACCGATAATTGTCTCTAAAACCATCTTGCATAATTTCTTTCTTTTTTTCTTTCATAGATTTTCTGTGACGTGCTAGATGAAAATGGAAGTACATTCGTGAAAGAAAGAGACAAGGATAAAAGAGAGAAAGGAGTAGAGAATTTAGAAGAAAGAATTGGTTATTTCATTTATAAAAATTGGCTGGTACATGATACACACATATATATAGCGCATCACATATTGACAATTTGCATAATAGAATAATAAATACTGACAAGATAATTGCCGCAATAACAAATTGACTGTCGGTAAATAACTAAATACACAGGCTCCCATACAAAAATGACTAATAATCAGTTACCATATCAACCGTGACCGTTGCGCTTCTCTCGGCTGTTTCCTCATAGCCAGCTATCATTCCAGCTATTGGCTCCCTTTCGGCTCCTAGTTCAGCTGCACGCTTCACCCTTAGCTCATCTTCCATCTGTTTCAGCTTAATTTCCTTCTCGCCTAGCTCATGCCTTAGCTTCTGATCACCATCAGTCCCCTTACGCATGCTTCCACCTGCTAAATTCATTACATTGCTTTTCTCTTCAGTAGATCCTTGTCCCCAAGGATTAAAAGATGGAAACTGTGATTTAAACACTTTAAAAACATTCCAAGTAGCAATTTCAGGACCCAAATTCTACCAAACAACTAAAAGTTAGGTTATTGCCCGATTATTCTTTTTCACCGTTCATTTGTCAATAAAAACAGCAGGGTATATCAAAGGCTGCTCTTTCTCATTTACTTCAGGTGGAGCTACGGTAGGCACTAGTTTAGTACCTATTTGTTTTTCTTAAGCAAGCTGACATAGAATACATCATGAATTTTTGAAGCTAGAGGTAGTTGTAACTTATAAGTTGTTGGACCAACCTTAGCTACGATGGGTAAGGACCATAGTACCTCGAGGACAATTTCAAATTCTTCTTGAGGATAATGATGTTTGCTTATAGGACTGGACTTTCAAATACACTTCTTCACAAACTTGAAACACGCTTTCACTCCTCTTTCGTTCTACGTAGAATTTCATCCTATGCTGGGCTTTTTACAGCTGGTCAACCAGTAACTTACTTAGTTGTTCCCTTTGTTTTAGTAAATCCTCCACTGCAGACACCTTTGCATGTAGGCCACTATTCCATGCTAACTCAAGGGGCTTGTAACCATACAATGCTTGAAAGGGGGACATATTGAGTGCAGGCATTATACCACCATTCTGCTAATGGCAGCCATCAAGCCCAATTCTTAGGTTTCAAGAAGCACATGCACTTCAAGTACTGCTTGAGACACTAGTTCACTTTCTCTGTCTGTCTATCAGATTCTGGATGATAGGCAGTGCTAAGTTGAACACTAGTGCCCGTTAAGTTCTTGTCAGAACAAACTGGTGAATGTTTTATCCCTATCAGAGATGGCTGATTTAGTAGTTCCATA